TCTGATGACAAAGTATGTTACAGTATTTTATCTTTCTTCAGAATGAATGTGCTGCAGCCCAGCATTGAAGTTGATTTCTGTATGCACCATATCCAAAACTGTAAGGTGCTGTTTTCAGTATAAAAGATCTAATGGGATGCGCCAATAAGTTTTAAAATAATGATTTGAAAGAATTATTTAGAGTTTAAAGTCCAGAATAGCATCTGCAGTGCATGTGTTAATGTAAACAAAAGGCTTTCAGCCTTCTCTTCATGTCAGAACACCTCATGCTCTGCAACTTTTGAAAACACTGGTGTGTTTTAATCATATCCATGTTAGTTTCTAAGATCTTCATTCATTTGTATTGTATGTACTGATTGTTCATTAAATACATAGGTACAGGAATCAGAGCTAGGCATTGTTTTTTCTTGTCTCTAATACTTGCCTTCAGTTAGTTATTCCAGTCCTGTTACTCAAAAGCCTTGCTCTTTATTTGTTTGTGGTGTTTGCTATTTGGAATGAAAGATGTAAATTTTATCTGGAGAGGAATGGCTAAAGAGCTAAATATTCAAGCTGTCAAGTAGTTTTTTTTTTTAAATGAAACTTGTATTTGTGATTTACATTGTTTTTCTTTATGCCTTATCACACAATTCTGAAAATTAGTAAAGAGGAGTATGTAGTGCAGTAGCCACCAATTAGTGTTATTGGGCATGATGGGAAACCTTGGGTGGTTAGCATCTCCTCGTGTAATTATTGGAAGGTTTCACTGGTTGTTAGATTTCTTCTACATCGATTTGCTGGGTACTTTCTTCTTTCTATGTAGGTTTTACCTGTTACTCCTGTCTTATTTCTAACGCAAATTGTTGCACAGTTCTGGAGATCACTGCTTAGCTCAATTTTGTGTGGTCTAAATACTTCATATACTTTTGTGTGGTTTAAATACTTCAGATAGTTTGTGATTTTTGCAGGACCTTTCTCTAGCAAATGTGATGCTCATCTACAAGAAGAACCAGAAGGAGAATCGAGGGAACTACAGGCCTGTCAGTCTGAACTCAGTGTGGGGAAGGTTATGGAGCAGATCAACTTGAGTGCCATTGCATGGCACAGGCAGGAAAAGAAGGCAAGCAGACACAATCAGCATGGGTTTATGAAAGGCAGATCCTTCTTGACTGACCTTTTCTCCTTCTATGACAAGGTGACCTACTTAGTGGATGAGGTATAGGCTCTGAATATTGTCTACCTAGACCACCCCTGGAGGTATTACAAGACATGTAGACATGATGCTTAGGGACATGGTTTAGTGGTGGACTTGGCAGTGTTAGGTTAATGGTTGGACTTGGTGATCTTTAATGTCTTTTCTAACCAGAATGATTGTATGATTCTATTTCTTAATCCAGGTGGAGTAATTTTTATGCCAGCAGTAAATTTTTGGACAGCATTCATTGTTAATTAGAAAGGGCATAGAAGAAATTAAGATTGTACACTTGGGACCAGTTTCAGACAAGAGTTACTCAATAGTTTTGGCTTCAGTAAAAAGTGAGAAACTGTGTGTGTAGGAATCCAATAGTATATGTGCTGTTACTGTATTTTTACTGTCCCAGAAAAACAAACAAACGAAAACCAACAACAAAATATGTATTTGTTTGCTGAAATACTGTGGCATAGTGCCTTGGTTTATGTGAAAAAGGTTGTGCTGAGGATTTTACATCAGTTACCAAATGAAGCATTCAGAAACTTTACAAATATCAGAATTAAGGCTGGCTGTGCTATTTCAGTGCTTGGCCAGTTCATGGCCCAAGTTATTACTGACTTTGTGTTGTGTGCATTTTGCTGGAATCCTCACCTACAGTTGTCAGAAGGGATTTGAGATGGGGTGTTCCCCTTATGGGTAGCTCTCACCCTATGTTTTCCCAACTGCCAGGTGTCTCATACTTGAACAGTAGGTCAGGCTAGGTGTTACTGAGCTTCCTTCAGGCCCTGTAACTGGCTTTGCTGTGTAATAAAGAAAAAATAGCCTTGTGTTAAAAATCTTCACAAGCAACTTCAGACTTAGCTTTACTTATTACTCCCTACATGTATGAGCATTTGCAAGCTGCATGTAATTAGCAAGTAAGTAGGCTTTGTTGCATCTGTTTTTCTTTTCTTTCTAAAAATTACAGACTTGCTGTAATATAGCCTTTGCTCATTTTTAGCAAACAGGCTTGTCAGTATTCTCATAATCCAGTACTGCTGTATTGCAAGAACATGAGCTCCAAAGCAAAATGTAAGATAATAAATTCAGCCAGTGAAAAAGGTGAAAATTGACTTTGAGGTGATGATAGAACGGTGAGAAGTTAAAGCTTTGGAAATTTTCCCTGGTGTTGTCAACCCTGTACTCCATCTTAATTTAAAATGATGTTACTATTAGATAGAAAGATCTCAACATCTGTAACTTTTAAAATACAAATAGATCTATGTGTATACATTTAAAGAAAACAAAAACGCTGCATAGAGAAGCTGCACTGATCAGCATCTCTTGCTTTTAAATAAGGGTTTCAGACCACACACGTTTTTCACAAGCATTTCACTTGGATTATAACACTTCTATTGCTTCATGTTGTCCCTCTGTTCTCTAAAACATTAGTAGAGAGCAAAGTGCTTAAGACTTGAGTTGAAGTGGAAGCACCTGTGTGCAAATGAAATTACAAACTCAGTAGTATTTCACATATGCATGAAGATCTTTGGTCCTGGTCCATCAGTCAGTCCACACTGGGTGTTTATGGTAGATAAAATCTACTGCCTTTAACAGGATCCTGAATGTTTTGTTGGGACTGAGATTGCAAAGCAGGATGCTGAATCTGTTTGGCACTTTGATCCCATGAACCTCTTAGCAGTAAGAGTACAGGAGCCCACTCACAGGCTATAGGATGGGGTACTTGAAGCATTACATCGATACATAAAATCACAATTGTAAGAAATGTATAATTATAGGAAAAAAAAACTTAGAATTTTTTTTTTGAACTTTTCTTCCACCCATGACTTCAGTGGATCTGTCTCGAAAGTAGTTTGTCTGATGTGCGACTTAGTGTTTTAGACTAGAGGTTTTTAGTAGCTGATAATACATTCAGTTATACAAACTGTTTTGATAACTGTTTTTGTGGTATGCATATGCACAATTAAATGCACGTATGTTAACGTAAGATTGGTAACTTTTATACAAAATGGATGAACTAGGCAGAATAAAGGAGATTAATATTTTGAGTTGAATGAGGGCTTTCCCTGGAGGAGTAGTAAAGTAGTAAGCTGTAATTATTTTTGCCCATTTAAAACATTGTTATGATACATTAAAATAAATCTGATAACTTTTTAAAAATAATGTAACCTCTAGAGCCAATAGTCTAATTGATGAAAGGAGTGTTTGCTAATAAGCATGCGGTTAACACTGTGCTGCTACTTCTGTTATTTAAAAAAAGTGAACTTTTTCAGTGTAGTTTAGCACAGAAATAAATTTTCCCCAACTGATATGAAGATAACTGAATCCTCCAAATTACTGCACTTACATAACTTAGTTATAAACTTGTTATTCATTTTCCAGGCCATCTTAATGTTTAAATGATGTTTACACTATAGATCTGCATGTGGAGAAAATGAGAGAATGGCTGGTAAACTGAAGGTTTGTGTGCTCACCACAGATGCAGGCAAGACCTTCCCTTCCTGGAAAAGAACTGTTACACTGGTTTAGAGTGGAGTTTTTCTTTAGATGTGGTGTAAGTTAAAGAATGGGAATTCTAAATGTGTGTTCTGTTTTTTTTTTCCCTTTCGTTGTAATCACTTTATTACTTCAGCTGTTGAAGTTTTCATTAATAATTTTTAAAGCTCTATTTCTCAGCTCAAAAAGAAAGGCATCTTAGGTATCTATCCACTGACAACTGCTTGGCTCTGATGACCACTGGTAGGAGAAAAATAGTAAGGTGTATTAAAAAAAAAAAGAGGTTCCTTATATGGCTCCACATTTCTGAACCAGGCTCCCGAAATAACAAAAGTGATTGTTTAAAATGTTTAAAAAGTGTTACATTTTTTAACTTGGATTCTTGGAGCTTCACTGAACTTTCCGTAACATTTTTGCTACTAAGTAACAGAGCTGATGTCTCAGTGTTGATATATCTGGGACTTAAAGAAAAACATGAGATAAGACACTTGCTAATGAAATACTAAAAACTTTCTCCACTGTTCATATATACTGTGATTCTTACTGAAAGAGCTGTATTATTTAAAGTACTACGTGGAGCTATTTTGAAAAATGCACATAGATAAACTGAGCCAAGAAAATCCACATTACATGTTGTACAATGAGAAATGCATATTTCCAAAACTGTTACTGGAATTGCTTGACTCACTTGTTTTTGGATGCAGAAGGTATTAGGCTTCTGTAAATATCTGGGTAGACAAGTTTTCAAATTTTTCTCAGCTTTCCTGAGTAATATGTTTCCCTGCTATCGATGTTAAGAGAGAGATGAAAGCAGAGCTGTGTAAGTCAGTTACCAGGTGAGTAAGTCAGTTACCAACTGTGTTAAATGAAGAGGAGGTGTGGTAGAACTTTCCTCAGGGCACCTTCTGGGAAAGCTTTTGTCTTGGTATCACCTTTTTATAATAGTCTGCTCGTTTATATGACAAGCCACTACAGTCCCGTTTGTTATTAGAGCTATAAAGCAGCTTTGTGTTTCATTCTCCTGTTGCCCTCTTAAAGGTCTGCTGCCCACAGCACAGGTCTGTGCTGCTGTCCTCTTTTCTGGAGGCCTTCTGGATCCTGTGGTCAGAGGCTAGGCCTGCTTCTTGTAACCTTTACTTGATTAGCTGGCATTCATCCATCCATCTATCCCTTGGAATGTTTGATGGTACTAGGAAATTCCAACAGAATGTAAGGTTAAGGTAGAGGTAGAATCTCAGAGTATTAAGTTGCTGTAACAAACATGTCCAAGTTTTGGCTGATGGAGAGAAGGAAAAGGTGCTGTTAACATTTGTATGGCCCTCCGGAACGAGCCATGCATACAGGTAACATATTCTTGTTGGTTCACTATGTGGGCAAAGGAGGTGATTATATAAAACAGCCTACCCAGAGCACTGGGCACAGTGTGTGGAGGATTTGGAGGGGAACCAAAGGTATCAGCTTTCAAATGCAGAATGCAGACTAGGAATATGTGTTTCTTGCTTGTCTGGGGATAATTTTATTGATGTTTTGAAGATAAAACAGTAGTATGCCTGTTGTAATGCAGATTCTTCTGTAGGTACTAGTCTGCAGCAAATATGGTATTAGAATAAGAATTATTTTTCTTACTGCAGAATAGTGAACTTACAAAAGGGGAAAAAAAACCCTTATTATTCTAGAAATTGTAATATAGTTGGAAAAAGGCAAAAGGAATTGATGGTTTCACATCATGGCTGTCTCATGTTTTTTGATGAAGTCTTGCTTCTGAGGTGTTGTTTCTTTGAAAGTTCTTGCCATGTGTGTTATTGTAGAGCTGATTAGGTTGGATGGATGATGTTCTCTTTGCAAGTGCTTATACATTAGTATTAGAAATGCAGTTATTCTGCACATAAACATGTTTATCTAGCTGGTGTTGTTAATATCTGTCCCTTATTTTTCTTCAGTATTTTGCATAAATGCTAGAGATACCAACTTTGGTAAAGTGTTTAAAGGTCTTTGAAGGAAAGTAATTGTAATTGTAATGCAATGGATAGTTCAGAATCATAGAAGAATGTTTATCCCTGTTTTTCTGTTTGCTTTATTCCATTGAATATTACCTTGAATTACTGTTGTAGCTCTCTTCTGATTCTTTACTGGACACTGCCCTGTGTCCTGATGTGCCTTCTCCTTCCTGCATTGCAGTTTGACAACATGGGACTAAAATGAGGGAGTTTGTCTGGAGCACAGCTCTGTCATGGTTCTGGTTGAGCTGATGTAAGCACCAGTACAGCTACTTCTTGCTCTCAGTCTTACTCCCCTTTCCTTCTGAATTATCAAACAGAAAATTGGGTGGATAAAACGCCAAAATCTTGTCCTGGTTCATTTTTTTAGCCTTTTTAGCCTTTTAGTGTTCCTATCTGTGTCTCCTGTCAGTAGAGAGTGGCTGATCCTTGCGTGGGAACCCTGTGCTTTGTTGTGGAAATGGGGATGTAAAAGTTAAATGAAGTAATTATTACAGCTCTGATAAATAGGTCTAGTTACTCCAAAGTGTAAACCAGCTGAGACGCACTCTTTTTCTGTATTTGAGTTAGTTTTCTGTCTTGAACAGTTGCTTACTGTGTGGTTAAGTGCATAATGGTGCTCTTGTAGTAGTAGTGGATGAAAGCAATGGAGGACTATTAAAACTTCCATTCTGGTGGCAGATAGCAACGCACTTACTTATCTGTATCCACATTCATAGATCAGCTTAGTTTCTCCCTACTCTAAGCATCAGTATGACCAATTTAAATAAAACAACAAAAAAAAAAAGGGGCGAGGGAGATGCTTAGGCTATAATTTGAGCAAATGATTCTCATCAAGGAAGTTTAGTCTTCAGTCTTGTCCTGGTCTCGTGCAGTTCCCTCTCATGAGCCATTCATGCAGTTGTATAATGAACTGGATGGGAGAATTTAGCTGAAAAATTACCTGAGAGTAATTTTATTTACCTTTAAGAAAGGTAAACAAATTAATGACAGAACAGTTAATTACAGAATTAACTTCCCGTTTCTGTTCGCCACAGGGCTGCAGAGCACATCTGTGTGGGCAGAGGGAAAAGAGCCTCTTAGGGAGTGGGAGAGGCGGAACTGGCGGAGTCCCAGCTTGCTTTGACTGAGGCACGTAACTTGGTGGTGCCGTTTCCTACTATGTCGTTCAGCTGAACTGATTCGTCCTTTTTTTAAAAAAAAATGCTTAAAAGTTTTCTGACAGGTTTATGTTGTCTGTAATATAAATAAATTCTCAGCACAATAATTGTGCTGGTATTCTGCAGAAAGCGGAAAGGAAGAATCTTTAGTTATGATTATTTATCTCAGTTGTGAAAATCAGAGCATAGAAGCAAATCTTAAGTTCTGAGATATTTGTGTTCAGCATTTCTGTTGTATTTACAAAAGACATTTTGTTTTCTTTTGCTGTAGAAATTCCAAGTAAGAAATTTTTGTGTAGAAAGTCAAGTCTTTAGTTCAGACTATGTATATTGTTCATTGCAGTCCTCTGTTTTATTACCTGATTCTTCTTGTAATACCGCAGATGCAAGACTGTGTAACCTCATAGCATTAATAAACTTTAAAACGTGGTGAGTTAGAAATTACTAGATAAATGTTAGTTTCTGTTGCCTTTTGATCTAGAAGTAATTGCAGATGCTCTGAAAACTAGTGTTTGAAAGCAGTAAATTCCGCTTCTTAATTTCAATACATCACACTTAATTTCATGTAATATAATTTTTATGAGCCATTTTAAAATGAAATTATTGTCACTCAAAATAGCAGTGCATCTGACAATAGCATTTTCATAATGTGAGCGTCACACACTATTCTGAAGTGTAATATCCGTGTCACCAGGTGAATAAATAATGTATTTGAGGAGGAAAACCAGGTGTTGGGTATAACTGTGTTGGACTATACAGTGTTCTTAAAAAATGACCTTTGAAGTTTTTTTAACTCAGAAGCTAAGAAGTAAAAAGCTGTACTTGATAAATTCTCATCCCTTTGTTTTGAAGAAAGTGGGTTTGGATATGCAGTATTTTTTTTCTAAATGGTCTGTGTTGTTTAGTTATTTAGAATCACTAACTGTATTCGAAGTACTGAATTCTGTTTTCAGACAACTGAAAACAGACTGCAACTATAACTTTCAGCACAGAATTCAGATAGCAGCATTTGTTCTTGTTAAGTTGAATTTCTCAATGAAGAAGCCCCTAGATCCTCTATTGAAGAAGCTGCTTGGTTTTTGTTTTTTTTTTTTTCCTAAGACTGGAAGTCTTCCAAGTAGCAATACAGATTTTGGGTTGTACTCTAATATGTGGTATATTTCTCAGATTTATGGCAATGAGTATAAAAGCTGGTTTGTACTGATAATGTACATAGAAAAATACTAGTATCCTGAAATAAGAGTAATAACAACTTTTTTTTTCATACTTTTTGTTTTTTTCACTCCTGCAGATGCTTCTAAGCTCAGACATGTAGAAAAAGATGTTTTGATTCCACAAATAATGAGGGATCGAGCCAAGGAGCGGTGTTCAGACAAAGTGCAAGGTAAGAATCAAATATTCCTTGGGAGACCAGATGTATTCACTTTTGTGCCCTAGATATAATCCAAGGCTTTGAACTGAAGTAGTCAGAGAATTAGTATGTATGATTTCCATCTTATGTGTTCACTGTGAAACCAGTAGTAAAACATATAAATCTGCTGTGTTGGCCTTGGGTTGCTTTGTGGTGTGGACTGTTTTCCAAAATCATTTGTTCTTGAGAGCTATGGAATTTAGTATTATTAATATCAACTTTCCACATGAGAGTCTAGACCATGTGATAACAGAGCAACCCAAGAGTTACTGTATTCCTGTACATTATATAAATGGAATTGTCTTGTGAACCTTCAGTTAGGCCCTCCCTCATTATTATAAATTTATTTAAATATTCTCAACTAACTTAATATTTTCCCTGCCCCGATATTTCAATGATACGTGCACAAAACCACACACATTATTAGATAGACATTGGAAGAGGATCATGTGGTTGATGTTTGCGTGTTTCCATTTTCTTTTGAAGAATACGGGACAATAATTCTTTAACACTGGGTATCACCACTTCTTCTGGCACTCATCTGTTCATAGATTACTGGAAGAAATCTGTAACTATTTGAAGTACTAGAAAGATAGAGCTATTTACACACAGGTTGGCCATGAATTGTTGCTGGAAGATGGATGTAAAAATGGAAAAAAAAAAAAAAAGTAGGCCATAGAGTTATTCTATTCAATATCCTGCTTTCAGTAGAGGGCCTTTGCCTCTTGTCATCTAGGTTTGTGCTCTCTAAATTTTTTTGATCACACACCCCATCAGTAAAAAACTTCTGAGTGCACAGTATCAATAAATGTGTATTTATAAATTATAGACACATACCACTGTACTAGTATGCTATGTACATTATAAAACATGAAAATAGAAATTAAAAAGGATGAGGTAAATATTAAATAGTAATTTAAAATAATTTTAGTGTAACATCAGTTGTGCAAAAAACTTTTTGCTCTGAAAATATTCCTGTTAATAGCAGTATTTTTTATTGAGAGCTATATGATTGAATATGTGTCATTTTTAAAGTATTTGTTTAACAATTTGTGATACAGAAACTGAAATGTCTGGTTGTGTGTTCAGTTAATTTTAATACTTGGTATTAACGAGTGTCATAGCTGAAAAAGATACCTCACAAGGACTCACAAGGTCCCAGTAGAAGGACGCATTGTTGCCTGCACTTACTAAATCATGGTACTCATTTTTCACTTGCATCCTTGGGTTTTGTGAAGATTTTACTTGGAATTTGAGTTAGTAAATGACCATATTCCCTCAAATTCAACCAGTTGTGCTTCTAAACTAATCAGAAAGTGGTGCATATTTATATTTTTTTTAGCAAAAATATTCAAAACAAGCTCAAACTCTCATTTTTGAAGATTTTTTAACAGGTTAGAAAATTCTGTTTCTGTTTCCTTGGGAAGTGTAGAGATAAGAGGTTTTTTGTGGGTGACACACATATTGTGTTCAGCAACAAAAACAGACCAAAAAACATATAAAGAGGAGAACATATCCAGACATCTGCTTTCAAAATGCTCTCTTCAAGGGTTTCTTTTGAAAAGCAGTTACTTTCTCACTCATTGTTATAGTGTCACCTTCACCTTGTGTGAAGGGATACACTCAGTGAATTTATTTTTTGGAAGTATCTGCAGAGTGGCGAACTACTCAGGCCACCTGTCATCATCAGGTCAGAAGGTCAGAAAATTTGTATTGCTCTTTGTAAAAGAGAAATGTGCAAAGTTTGACAGCTCTCTTAAGCACTTTGCCAGAAGACAGTCAGCAAACCTCTGTGTGGTATAAGAGAGGTTCATGGTCCCTCCGTATCTCATTACAAAGTCTGGTAAAGGTGCTCCTATTTGAAGGGCTTGTTTTTATAAAGTTCACCACATTGATGCCAGCCTATAGCACTTTGTTAATCCCTGGCTCCAACTACTTCGTTGCAATAGCTTACCTGTAAGTGATGCAGTAAAGGAATTTTCACATGTGGTGCTATCTCTGTAACCTAAACTGGGAATCCCTTTGTTATTCCAGTCACAGTAAACTGTTTAACCACATCAGTGGTTAAACTTTCACAGATTTTCCATAAAACATTTTTCTTTATCTTCTCCAGTACAACTCTCCTTCAGTGGCTCACAAAAAAAAATATTTCTGTGTGCATTTCATTATTGAAATGCAAATACCATCAGCTGAGAGAGGTTAAGAAACACCTGTACTTTCATCCAACTGTACAGCAAACCTTCCACACTGTGTAACTGGTTCTAATCCTTGTTTCTTCAAGGCTTCAGCAGTGTCTTCTGTGCATCTCCCAACAGTGTTCACTGACAAAGGACTGCATTTTAGTTTGTTGCCATATTGTTTCACACATACTATTTCAGCCATTTTCACCATGGCAGGAAGAACAGTTGTTTCCCCAGTGGTGTTGCTTTTTGTCTTTCACTGTTACCTAATAAAGTTCAAAGCAGTCTTCTAGACATTTATCAAGATGTTTAGAGTCAAGTTTAGTTAAAGTGGACCAGCAAATTTTCAAGCAGCTGCTTTTAGGATTTCCCCAAAAGATACGAAGGAGTAGTGTTGTAACAATTTTGATATGGGTAAGTGGGAAAAGAGTTGGGAATATCTGCTACAGGAAAGTGGCATCACATGACAGCTAACTTCCAGTGCTGCCAGAAGGACTTAATACACCATCATTTGAATGATAGTCAGATAGTTTTGACTTTGAACTTTATACCTTTTGGGGAAAACAAGAAGAGGAAAAGCAATTACAGTAATGTGTGTCATTGAAAGAATATGTCAGTTAAAAATATTTTGACAGCATGCTAGTTGTGTAATTTTATTTGGGGTAGACCCAAGTGGGTGTTTGTTTATGTATTTGTTCTTCTCCACTTAACTTCTCTCTGTAAGATGTCGACTTTGGCTTTAGAGTATTAGTATTCTGTGGCAACAAACGATATTGGAGATTCTTGATCTGTGTCTTGTGAACCATTACTTTGCGATTTCTCCTTTTTTTTACCTCCATTTATTTTTTGTTATATCTTTAGGAAACTGAGGTTTTTGGATGCATCTGTCTCCCCTTCATTTCTCTGTCACCTGTAAGCTAGTGCTGATAAAATTGTGTGGAAGTTAGAGGTGGAAACTGGAAATCTGTTATGCAATTTCAATGATCAAATAGACAAGCAAAACCCTATTTAAAAAGAAAAAAGTTCAGCTATTCTGTTGTACACTTTTTAATCTGAATGGGGGAGGGGAGAGACCAAACCATGGGAAATGAAGCTTAAGCAGTTTTCTGAACGGGATAATTTACCATCTTTTAAGTCCATTGTGAAATTATTCCTGGAATAAAATTGTCTTGTTAGTACTCAGGGATAGGTGTTAATCAGAGTAAATAGGCTGTGGTTTTTATGCTGTAAACAATTATAAGCTATGAACATAAGCTGTGTAATTAAGTAATCAAAACTACTGCATTCAGGTTTGGTGTGCTACAGAGTGCACACACGGACATGAGATTGTGCTATTTCCATTAAGTGGTGTAGCTACTCATTTAACTTGCTCTCAGTGTATGATTTTCTGCTTTATGTTAACTTTGATTGAAAACGCCTATTAATACACCTTTGTTTCATTTTGTCTTTAGGAAATTGTGATAAATGCATTGGTACTATAGGAAAACAAGCTATTCTACAAGTATGGGCCTTTACAATTTACTTGATCACACTAGGTTCATATGTGTCCCTACGGGGAGCCCCTATACATTCAATAGTGCTCTGCATGAGCACAGGGGTCCATCTGTATACAGTCCGTTACCTTAGCCTGCAGCTATACCACCTAGAGCTGTGTGCTTATCAGAGCTAATAATGCAAGCAGTGACAGCCTGTCCAGCACGTGTTCAAGAGCCATCCAGGGAAAAGAAACCCCAAAGGTTAAAAAAGTAAATAAAAAAGGAAGCTTTTGTTAACTCAAGAGGTGATCCTGCTACCCTAGCACAGTTAAATGGGTGACCCATTACTGTGCTTGGTTGTTAACGTACCAGAGTAACTTAGGGATTAAATAACCATGAAAATGTGTCCATCTGATATTTTTTTAAGAACCATTAAGTGTTGTATCTGGTAATATTTACTTAGTTAATTTAAATAAACTTAGAACTTTTTTTCAGATTGTTCCAATATAGTTTTTGTGTGTGCTACATATTTCTCAAGAATTTAGTACATCTCAGTTGCAGAATCATTTCTCTGTGTTTAAGATTTTCAAGCATTTTTTCAGTGAAAACAGATATATTAGTAATTTTGTTAGGAGGGTAAACATGCTTTCTGAAAACACATGACAGTTTTCTATTACCTTTATGTAAATAAGCTTTGTTGTGTTAATATCCTTGCATTGTATGTATATGAAGTTGTGGGTTACTATAAGTATCAAAAGTGTCACAAAAAACAAGCAAACAAAAAAACCCAACAGCATTGTCATACAGGAACTTTTCACTGTATTTGCATGAATTGTAGCATAAGTACATCTGAAATAGCATTAAATCCATGTAGTCCTGTATCAATTTGTCCTTGACATATAGAAGTATATACTTTCAAACTGAAGCAGCTACAAGGCACATTTATTTGCCATTGCCACTCCATTCAGCTTGATTTTGGGTTACTTTGCTTGGAAAATAAAAATAAAAATAAAACCAGAAACAGTTGATAGACAGCTTATGGATTTGTAGTATGAAGAAGTTAGTCTTAAATTGACATCCCCAAAAGGGATTACTGGGTCACTGAGTAAGTCATGTGATCATGATTTTGTATATTTGTTGTAAATGTTTTGTGTACTTCTTGTATTATAAAGCATTTCTGCCCACCTTCCAGAAACCTCACAATCTTTTGTTGCTGGGAGAACAACAATCTTGCTCCAGTGACAAAAGATTTAGGTCTAAACTTTTTTGTTCTAAATTTTGTTGTCTACTACTGATAGGCGGTCTGGGCTTGGGGCTT